TTATGGTTGAGTCTAGGGAGCACTTTGTAACTCATGCCTTCTGTGGTTAGGAGTTCCCATTTTCCATAATACCAATTAGCCACCTACAGAATGTTTTAAATATAAGAAACAATGCGGCTGTATACCAGAAATGGCTAGGACAATGTTATGTTTGCTGAGCAGTCAAGTAACCATCACTTCTCACATTTCAGGTACAATCTCAAGGCTCCGTAAAGCAGTTTCTATAAAGAAACCTCAAGCCATGCAAATGTCTTCAATTTTTATTTTATTTTTTTAATAGTGTCAGGGATAGTTAAGGGTTGGCCAATACTGTGTGAATTGTAAATTTAAACAGTGACAGTTTTTCCATCTTAGTTGATAGGATTTCCCTTTCCTGTCTGGCTTTGTATTAGTCTCTGTGTCTTGTATTAGTTTGCAGATTGAAGAATTAATTTTAAATAGGGAAGAGCTACATAAAATAGGGCACAACTGATTTTTGCTTCTGAAATCTGTTTGCAGGATTTAGAAAAAAATTCACTATTCACTATCTTTTCACTTCTCTATCTTTTCAAACAAGTACTAGCAGAGAGATATTTTTAAAGATTAACTTCTTTAAAATTGATCTTATTTTTTTTCTGCTGAGTGCTTTTTTCTTTTCCTTTTTAAATAAATAAGGTGGTCCCAGCATAGTCAATATCTAGACAGCTTTTCATCAGTTGCTCATCAGCATGCTAATTGCTGTATGACTAATTATGCCCTGAATTCCAGTTGATTTTCTTAATGAGACAGCTGGGTTAATTATGTAATCGTATGATTACATTAGCCCAGAGTGCCCTGGCGAAAAGTAACGCATGCAGGAGCGTGATGTCATTGCATGAACAGCACTCACAAGGGGGTGCATTCATCTTCTGTCTAATGACAGGGGAGGGCAACGTTACCCACAATGCTCTTTGTGTAAACAGTTATATTGAATTATTAAGATCTGTGTCTTTTTCCAGCTTGTACAATGCATGGAGAATTGGAAATTCATTTGTTCAGTGATAGTCCAGTTTTACTTTGTGATACTATGACAGAGTTTACATTTGATCTAAGCGTTAAAAAGTTATAGTAGTTGCTGAAATGTAACCTCAGGCTGGTAAAGCAGTGCATTCTTTTATTGAGATCCACTTTTCTTTTACTTTAAAACCCTGCTCTTAAAATATGCACAGTACAACCTGGCTCGTCCACACATTTATAAACTCCACCAAAAAATTGGTGTTCTTTCCCCTCTCAGAAGTGGTTTAACAGCAGTTCCGGTTATGAGGCCTTATATTAATTTGGCTTTTTTTTTTTTAAACTAAAATACAGTAGTGTGCATTAACTAGTACATTGTGAAGTATTATCTGCCAGGAAAACGACACTGCATTTGTTCAAAGTTAACACAGTTGCTTTTTGCATGTCTTTCTTCATTCAGAGGCATATCCAGGCCCCCCTCCCCCCTTCTTGACCAGAGCCTCATTTGTAGTGGATTTGATATGATGCTGCACACCTGTGCATTCACACAGATACGCCACGTGGGTGGATGGGATTGTGAAGCAACACTGAGAGGGCAGCACATGGAAAGGTTAGGGCAAGGGTGAGCTCCGTGGACACTAGTCCATCCTCAGGGCTTGAGTGGCATAGAAGAATAGTTTTGACTATTATTTAATATTTCTATTATGGTGCTATGTCTGACGCTCAGTCAAGGATCAGGGCCCCACTGTGCTAGGCACTATGCAAATAGAAATAAAGATGATTTTCTGTCTTGGTGTTAGGATGCAACAGGTGGATTAGACAGGAAAAAACGGACACGGGGAGTTGGAAGATGAGGTCATAATAAAATGAAAGGTTTAGCATAAAAGCAGGTATCTCAACTCACCTCTCACCTAACTAATGCCAGGTGGTAATGATTTGTAGGCATTTTTGTATACTAGCAATTTAAGCGTTTCCTCTCTTTCCCCTGCCTTCTTGTCAGCCCTTTGTCCAGTCAGGACACCAGACTCTTGATTTGGGTCTTATTCTCTAGCTTGCAAAACCGTCATTTACAGTGAGTCTTCCAGTTACTAATGTTAATTAGCAAGGTTTTGCTGTACTGGGGCTTAGAGAAAAAGCACTCCATTATTTGGAAGCTTGTCTTTGTTGCTTTCTGTATACTATCACCATTTCATTTCAGTTCCTTCAAATGTCAATGATCTCCCATTAAACTATATGAAATCTGCGTAAAATAAAAAGACAGGCTTTTATATGTGCAAGTTCTGGTTGTGTATTTTTTTTCCCCCAAAACCCCACACCAATCAAGAAGGAAAATAGCACATCAAAGACTTCAGATTGCGGTGCTTACATTGAACACAGTAATACTTGTGTGAAGTTTAAACGGTGTTGAAGATAATTAAGAAGACCAAAAAGCTGTGATTTCTAAAGTTTAAAATGCACTTTGGAGTTTGACATACATAAATTAATTGTTTGACTCTCTAGCCAAAGCAAGTCATAGTCATTATGTTGTCATGCAGTAATTAGTTTTGTTTATAAATTAAGCCTAAGAGGTACTTCGGCAATGCCTTTTACAAATCCCAAAACAATATTCAAAGGCTGCAAGCTTTTAGTTGGTCAACTAAGGTATAGTAAAGTTTGAAATGTAATGCATGGGAGACTGTTTTTACATTTTGGTCATTCTGTGACTGTTTGCTACTTTAGCATTAACCTTTAATAGAGCTAAATTAAATATACATGTCCTGATGAATAATTATGAGGTTGCATGAATTTTTATTTACAGTATAATGCTTTACAAGGATTGAAAATTTGACTAAAGGTTTAGTCATTATTCACTTTATAATGCACATGTTATTTTTATGCCTTTGAATTCCTTCCTAATTTCAGTCTAGAAAAGCATTGTTTATTTGGAGCAGACACAGTGTCTTGTATGGTGCCAAGTATTAGAGGGATAGCCGTGTTAGTCTGTATCCACAAAAACAACGAGGAGTCCGGTGGCACCTTAAAGACTAACAGATTTATTTGGGCATAAGTTTTCGTGGGTAAAAAAACCCACTTCTTCAGATGCATGGAGTGAAAACAAAAGGTTATGCCCAAATAAATCTGTTAGTCTTGTGGGTATCCTGGCTTTTTAAAATGAATGTACTAAAAAAAAGTTTTTAAAAATCACGGGGATAGAAGGCAGTGTACAAACACTGGTTCTTATAAATACAGTTTGTATTGGCTATGGTATTTTAAGCCTGCTAGCACAAACGTTGTTAATATTTTATAGAAATATCATGGATAAAGTTTTAGGTCCTCATTTGATATATTTTTTTTATTTAAAGTTTGTATTATAGCCCTAAATCAAATAGACTGACACCATCCAGTCTTTCTTTATGATCAATAGTCCAAAATGCTGGACAGGCTCTGCTGGAGAAACACTGGACTGAAGAAATGTGACAAAATGGTCATTCTAAGTAATGGTTGTTTTGGCTGCATGGGAGAAGGCTCATGTTATGACAGCCTGCACCCTAATTGGAATGTGTATAAATATTGTAGGGACTTCTCAGTGCTGCTATAACTTCAACTTTATGTATAATTCCTTACCCAGGCCCCCTGCACCTGCCACAATAACATTTTAAATTTGATTTATTATAAATATTTTAATAGAGATAATAATAATGAAAAGTATTTGGCCTAAAAACATAAATGAAAAATCTATGTAGTCATAAACTATGTATGTATGTACAGAGAACAGATGACAAGCAGCCTAGATTTTATATTATGAAGAAGGTAATGTCATAAGCTGTTGAACTAAATAACAAAATGCAGTATACTGCTACTTATGATGTCTCTGAGTTCAACATAACCCAGCACTGTTCTTTTATAAACTGTGAAACAACGCTGGCATATTGAAAAACGCACAAGCTCATGCTTAATGTGTTAACAGAGGTACAATAGACTTATTATGTTTCCAGAGACTGAGGGTGGTCTGAAAAATTAATGACTACGGTGTTTGAAAATTAAGTGAACTCCCTAATATATACTGTTGTTGATCCACTGAGTTTAGTGTTTAGCATTCCTCAACAGGAGACTAAATCTTTGCAGCCATTTCACAAGTGATGCTGGCGCCCATAATAGAAATGCATTCAATAATTTTTATAAGCCCATTGGACTCCAACATTTTCCTACACTGACTGGGAAGCTGAGATCCCAGAATAAATTCTCTGTCCATACATGGCAGGTGTATTGTAACAGTTTTTTTTTTTAGCAGAATAGAAAATGATAGAATTGTCAGTAGGAGAACATAAAGTGTTTCAAATTTGTATTTAATTTGTGTAAGAAAAATAGAGAATAAATACCATAAAATTTCCGATTAGCAGAATTAATTTTGATTAGCGTTCGCATCAGTTGTTTACTAGTAAATGTCACTGATAGGAAATGAGCCAAAGGTTTGTAATCGTATTCACACAAGAGTTTCTGATATCAAATAACAGATCTTTCACAGATCCCCACAGCTGTACTTGTTTGTGCTTTATGGCTGAGGGCCTTATGGTAAGGTACAAGCTTATTCAAAAGTATGGTTCTTTGAAAGGGGAGGTATTTAAAGGACTCCATTAATCAGTATTTAATATATTTTTTGTTGCTTTTACTCAACAAAAGAACAACAAAACATCTTGTACATTAATGTCTTTTTCATGAAAATAGATTGGATCTCGAGACTTTCATGTCTCGTTAGTCTGTGTCATTTTAAAGATGCTGTCAAAATACTGTGTCACTTGAAAAAAATACTGTTCATCATTTAGAAAATAATGGAGATCCTAAATATAAAGAATTGTATATAATTTTCAAAAAACACACGGGGAAGTAGAGGAAAGTAAATCAGACCTAGACCTTACTACAACACCACTGCATATGACCATTTGAATGTCATTTTAACTAAGGAAGAAGGAGAATTCTTCCACAAAGAATTTCAAGATTCTGAGCTACTAAAGCTGCAGCGGTGTTGCTGTTGTCTTTTTATTATTTAGATCCAGTTCCAGCTCTGGATCTAGGACAGCAGCTTCAGCTGAAAGTCCAGCGAATGCATGATATTGAAACAGAGAACCAGAAACTTAGGGAAACTCTAGAGGAATACAACAAGGAATTTGCTGAAGTGAAAAATCAAGGTAGGTGGGAAAAATGGTACTCTTTCTCTCAGATTGTAATTCTAATAGTTTGAAGCAGTTTGAAGAATGTTAGGATTAGCCCTAATTGTATTTCATAAAATTAGTGTGTGCAGATATATTGGTATTTAATAAAGAAAGAAAGACTATTGCATGCTTATAGCCACTTTGAAATTTACATGTCTGCATATGACTATTTTACTTTGATGGGACCAATAGGATTTCCTTTAGAACTTTTCCTACAGTATCATGTAATAGCTGGGCATTCTTCTTTTAAGCATTCTGTTGTTGCCTTCAGCACTACCTATTAGTGATCCAGCTAGCAAACTGAAGTTACATAGCAGTCATTAAATACTGAGATTATAGTAAGACTGGTCTAAGGCCAAACAAGTATTTTTTTAATCCACTATTTGTTAATAATTTTATTTTGTTTTTTAAAAAAGTATATCTTCTCTGCTCAATTTTTCCTCAGATAAATTAATAAAATAATCTTAGTACTTGCAGCATTCTGTATAATTACTGTAGGGAATGCCAGGTAATAGTGCAAATACTGAGGTAATGTTTCAGTTTTTAAGGCAGTTGGCAAGTTTTTTAAGGTGACCATGGTACATGAAAAGACCATTATCTAAGGTGCAAAAACCTGCTGTCTCTGAAAATACCCAAGCTTTCTTGCCTTTCAGAAAAACATGCTTCCTGCACCAGGAAACAAAATATGCTCACTCTAAACCTTTTTCCTTTTACACACAACTTGTGGTTTCCTTGTAAATATACAATTCTGAGTTACACTAGCAGCAAATTGTTCTACCACATAGGAGAATAGACATTGCCCAGCTAGAGGTCTCATTGACAGTTTACTGGGGCATAGTTTGCTGCATCTAAATTGCAGCAAAAGGCACATGTTACAGCCACCTCTCTCTTTAATATGAAGGGAGTGGCCCATTGAGATCGCAGGTCCCTCATCATGCAGGTCTTCAGACTGGACTGCAACAGATGTAACATTGCATCCTGGGAGCTCTACATTTGGCAGTTGCGCTAATGTGATAAAAGTAGAGACATGACCACAGTTCACTTGGTGGCACTCTGTTGGTCATGTACTTTGACCACCTTCGTGTAGGAGCTTGTGGCCTGATCTTGGAAAGTGTAAAGGACATTCAACTCCGGTTGTTTGCTTTTTATTTATTTAATTATTTATTTTGACAGGAGCAACACTTAAATACTTCAGTCAGGATCAAGGCCCATTATGTTAAATGTCATGCAAACATGTAGAAGGACATGTCATGAAGAGCTTGTGATCTTGAAACCAATGGGAGCTGAGGGAAGTGGGCACCTTGCCGGACTGGGCCCTTTAATGCAACTACAAAATTTGCATTTATTATGAATGGCTTTTTTATGCTATATGTATTTATTTCATTCATGTACCAAATCTTCTTTGATCAGTGTTTCACTCTGGAATTGCAGTTCTATGCCATACTTTAAATAGAAATGGTCTAAAGGTGTTAGGAATGACCTGCAGAGTCCTGTTAGTAGTTGAGGGTGGTTTGATTTCTCTCCATAGATGGGTTGTACATGGTGTTAAATGAAGTTAAAAACATAAGAATGGCCATACTGGGTCAGACCAATGGTCCATCTAGCCCAGTATCCTGTCTCTGACCATGATCTGTGCCTGAAGGTTTTTGTCCGTTGGAGGTTTAGGGATACCTGGAGCATGGGATTGCATCCCTTACCTTCTTGGCTATAATAGCCATTGATGGATCTTTTTTTAAGCCATTTATACTTTTGGCCTTCACAATATCCCATGGCAATGAGTTCCAAAGGTTAATTGTGCATTATATGAAATAATATTGACATTTCTTTGTTTTAAACCTGCTGCCTATTAATTTCATCTAGTGACCTCTAGTTCTTGTGTTATGTGAAGGGGTAAATAACACTTCCCTATTCACTTTCTCCATACCATTCATGATTTTATAGACCTCTCTCATGTCCCCCTTTAGTCCAACTCTAAGATGGGTTACCTAGGGAGGTGGTGGAATCTCCATCCTTAGAGGTCTTTGCTGGCTTGACAACGTCCTGGCTGGGATATTTTAGTTGGGGTTGGTCCTGCTTTGAGCAGGGGGTTGGACTAGATGACCTCCTGAGGTCTCTTCTAACCATAATCTTCTATGATCTGTTTTTGAGAGAGGGTGACCAGAACTGCACACAGTATCGTTGGACTTGTATAGTGGCATTCTGTCGTCTTATTTATCCCTTTCCTAATGGTTTCTAATATTCTGTTAACTTTTTTGACTGCTGCTGCACATTGAGTGGATGTTTTCAGAGAACTATCCACAATGACTCCAAGATCTTTCTTAAATGGTAACAGCTAATTTAGATCCCATTATTTTGTATGTATAGTTGGGATCATGTTTTCCAATATGCATTACTTGCATTTATCAACTATGAATTTCATCTGCTATTTTGTCATCCAGTCCCTTAGTTTAGTGAGATCCATTTGTAACTCTTTGCAGTCAGCTTAGTACTTAACTAATTTGAGTAATTTTGTATTGTCTGCCAATTTTGTCACGTCACTGTTCACCCCCTTTTAAAGTTCATTTATGAATATTTGAAGAAGTGGGCTGTAGTCCACGAAAGCTTATGCTCTAATAAATTTGTTAGTCTCTAAGGTGCCACAAGTACTCCTGTTCTATTTATGAATATGTTGATCAGCGCAGGTCCCAATACAGATACTTGGGGAACTCTCTCTATTGTGAAAACTGACAATTTATTCCTACCCCCCTTTGTTTCCTATCTTTTAATCAGTTACTGATCCATTAGAGGATCTTTTCTCTTATCCCATGACTCCCTACTTTGCTTGAGAGCCTTGGTGTGGGACCTTGTCAAAGGCTTTCTGAAAGTCCAACAACACTATATCGAATGGATCACCCTTGTTCACATGCTTGTTGACTCTTCCCAACATATCATATTTATCTATGTATCTAATAAATTTATTCTTTTTATTATAGTTTCAACCAATTTACTTGGTACTTACTAGCCTGTAATCTGCAGGATCTTCTCCGGATCCTTTTTTAAAAATAGGCATTACATTAGCTATCCTCCAGTCATCTGGTATAGAGGCTTATTCGGGATTCTTGGGTGAATACTATCTAGTCCTGGTGCCTTAATCCTGTTTAATTTATCAGTTTGTTCCAAAACCACCGTTATTGTCACCTCTGTCTGGGACAGTTCCTCAGCTTTGTCACCTAAAAAGAATGACTCGGGTGTGGGGATCTCCCCCACATCCTCTGCAGTGAAGACAGGTGCAAAGAATTCATTTAGCTTTGTCTTCCTTGATTGCTCCTTTAGCACCTCAATTATCCAGTAGCACCACTGACTGTTTAGGCTTCCTGTTTCTGATGTACTTAAACATTTTTTGCTGTTAGTTTTTGTGTCCTTAGCTTAGTTGGTCTTCAGATTCTTTCTTGGCCTGCCTTCCTGTACTTTTACACTTGATTGCTTCTTTCTATATTCCCCACTAGGATTAGACTTCCAATTTTTAAAGGATGTCTTTTTGCTTCTAACTGCTTCTTTTATTCTGGTTAGCCATTGTGGCATATTTTTGGTCTTTTTGGTTTGGTTTGAGATGTTCATTTAGTTGGAGCCTCTATTTTGCAGTTTTCAGTCTCCATGCAGTTGGCAGGCATTTCACCTTGTGACTATTCCTTAATTTCTGTTTAACTAGCTTCCTCATTTTTATGTACTTCCCCTTTTTGAAGTGAAATGCTGCTGTGATGGGTTTCTTTTGGCATTTTGCCCCTTACAAGGATGTTACATGTAATTATATTGTGGTTGCTGTTACGGAGCAGGTCATCTCTTGGACTGGATCCTGTGATCCATTTAGGACTAAATCAGGAATTACCTCTCCCTTTGTGGGTTCCACCAGCAGCATCTGTGGTGTCTAGAATTTTCTCTCTGCATCCCTTCCTGAGGTGACACATACCCCAGTCAGTTTGAGGATACTTGAAATCCTCCATTATTATCACTGCATCTGCTTTTTCAATCTCTCTAATCTCCCTGAGCATTTCACAGTTGCTGTCACCATTCTGGTCAGGTGGTTGTTAGTATATTCCTACTGCTATGCTCTTATGGTTCAAGCATGGAATTTCTATCAATAAAGATTTTATGGTACAGTTTGATTCATTTAAGGGTTTTACTTTAATTTGACTTTATGCTTTCTTTCACATATAGTGCCACTCTTCCACCAGCATGACCTACTCTGTCATTCCTATATATTTTGTACCATTGTATTACAGTACTGTGTCCCACTGATTATCCTCGTGCCATCAAGTTTCCACGATGCGTATTATATCATTATCCTTGATTAATACCAGGCACTCTGGTTCACCCATCTTAAAATGTAGACATCTAGCATTTTTATAAGAGCACTTGTACATTTTGTCAATATTCAGTTGCTTGCCTTTAGTTGTTGTATTTAAATAGGACTCTTTTTTGAGGTTCGACTCTTCCTCACTAGCTCCTACGTGTACTTTACCAACTTCTTTTGTATCCTGTTTACTAGGATATAGAGTTCCCCCATTAATAAATTCATCCCTAAGGGAGTCTCTGCATCTGTCAGCTTTCCCCCAGCCCTTAGTTAAAAAAATTCTCTACAACTTTTTAATTTTACATAGAATCATAGAACCTTAGGGATAGAAGGGATTGCAAGGGTCATCCAGTCTAACCCCCTGCCAAGATGCAGGATTTGTTGTCTAAAAACTATCCAAGATAGATGGCTATCCAGTCTCCTTTTGAAAATCTCCAGGGAAGGAACTTCCAGCAGTATGGTTCCATTTTGGTTTAGGTAGAGCCTGTCCTTCCTATATAGGTTCCTCCTTTCCCAAAAGGTTCCCCAGCTTGTAATACTCCTACGACCCTCCTCCCTACACAGTCATCTCATCTATGCATTGAAACCTTGCAGTTCTGCCTCTCTTTCTGGCCCTGCACATGGAACTGAAAGCATTTCAGAGGTC